CTGAAAAACTGATATTGCTGAAAATTAACCAACCTTCTCACTGTATTTTTTATGTGAGATAATTTCATTATAATTTAAGACAGTAGAATCACTGTTTTCTGTTATTTACATTTAAAAAGCCTTAACTGATTGGTAACAAAATATTAAAAACTCATCAGTTTCCCCCCAGCAAGTTCTCCTGTTTCTTATTTTGGTAAATGGTAACATCTTCTAACAGGTTATATAAGACAGAAACCTCAGTCAACCTTGACACTTTCCTCTATCTTACTATATCCCCTGTGTCCAATTCATTCCCACCTGCCACTGAATCCTTCTAATTCATCAACACCACACTGATCAGAACCAATACCATCTATCTCTCAAATTACCCCAAGAACCTGCTTCTCCTCTAACTCACCTCTAATCTTTTTTCCACACTAGCCTGGGCAGAGGTTTTCAAAATTTCAGTCTGATTATATCATCCCTCTATTTCTATCTCCCTTTCTGCTAAAAAATAAAGACTTCATTTTCCCATTCCTTTTGGTATAAAGATGTACCATTTTACAAAGCCCTACAGGTCTGGGCCCCACCTGTCTCACTCTTGCATCTTGCAGTGAACAACTACCACACTGGGAGTTCTATTGGCCCTTTTATCCTTGCCTCATTCCTGACCCCAGGACCTTTGCACATGATGTTCTCTCTCCCTGGAAACTATTTTCCCTGCTTATTCACTGAGTTTACAGCTTCTATCACTCCTCCAGGGAAGTCTTCTCTGACCCCCATGACTAGGACAAGCCTCTCTTCCAGTCTCACAGCAACACATACCCACTCTTTGTTGCACTTGTTACTTTTGTAATTTTGTGTTGTCTTCCACAAGCTCATAAACTCTGCCATCCTTAGTATCTAGCAGAGTGCCTGGTGCACAGTTACCAGGCTCAATAAATCTGATGAAGAGTGAAGTGCTGTGAAGGAAAGATGTATGGTATAAGATGCTCTGAGTGTCTGGAACACTGAACTTGATCTTTCTTGTCTGGAAGGTTAGAAATTTCTTTTATGGAATTGATATTTGAGCTGAGTTTTGAAGGATGACTAGAGTCGGGGAGAAGAAGTCAGGCAGTGAATGTGACGTGAACAAGCATGGTGCATTCAAACAACTGAATCAAGGATAGACTGGCTAAAGCTTAAAGCGCAAGGCAGAGAGCAGAGCAGGGCAGACCAGAAGGTTAATCACGACATACTACGTGGGGTTTATGGATAAGATGATCATATAATTTAATGCCTAACCTGGTGTATTTATTTTTTTCAGCCTTTTTAAAAAAGATTTATTTATTTATGCATACAAGAACTTGGGTACAGGCCAGGGGTGTGGGGGCTGAGAGGATTCCCCAGAGACAGAGTGGGGAACAGAACAGGCAGATTGACTGAAATACACTGCTGAGGGGAGCAGCGGGTGAGGCAGGAGAGGTCTGCTGCGCCATGTGGGTATCTCCCTGGCCAGCTGGGGATCGAACCTGCACTGCAGAGGCTGCGGACAGCTTCACAGCACTGAACTAACCCCCTGCGCCACCAAGGAGGCTCTGTTTTTTTCAGCCTTTAAAAAAAGGGTTTTTTTAAAATTTTATATAAAAATAAGTTTCCTTCACAGCACTTCACTCTTGTTCAGATTTATTGAAGCTCCTAACTGTGCACCAGGCACTCTGTTAGATACCAAGGATGCCAGTGCTTATAGATCAGTGGGAGATAGTTTGATGTTTTTATTTATTTATTTATTTTAAAGATTTATTTTATTTTTTTAAGATTTATTTATTTATTTATACGAGCACTGGGTACAGTGAGAAGCGCGGGAGGGTGAGAGAATTCACCAGAGCCAGAGTGGGGAGCAGAGCAGGCGGAAGGACCGAAGTACACTGCTGAGGAGAGCAGCAGGCGGCATGAGAGGTCTGCGCGCCATGTGGGACCCTCCTCCAGTGGCGGGGGAGCAGCCGGGGATCGAACCTGCGCTGCAGAGGCTGCGGGCAGCTTCGCAACTCAGCGCTCAACCGCTGCGCCACCGGGGAGGCCCTGATGTTTTTATTTTGATGTAATTACAACTTAGAAGTTACAAGAATAGTTCACAAAAGTCCCATGTACCCTTTACCCAATTCACTTATTTATATTTGCTCATTTTATTCTTCTCCCTCTCCACATTTATATTCAGATGAACTTATTTTTAAAGGTTTATTTTTCCTAGTTTTTAAAATTTTTTTATTTATATATTTTTTTACATCATTGTTCATTTTTTTTTGTTTTAATTTTCTAGAGGCATGTCTTATTTATTTATTTGTTTGTTTGGTTGGTTGGTTTATACATGCACTGGGTACAGTCAGAAGCATGGGAGGGTGAGAGAATTCACCAGAGCCAGAGCGGAGAGCAGAGCAGGCAGACGATGAAATACACTGCTGAGGGGAGCAGCGGGCGGCAGGAGAGGTCTGCGCACCATGTGGGACCCTCCTCTGGTGGCCGGGGAGCAGCCGGGGATCGAACCGGCACCGCAGAGGCCGCGGGCAGCTTCGCAACCCAGCGCTCAACTGCTGCGCCACCGGGGAGACCCCATCATTGTTCATTTTTAAGCAATGTTTGCTTCCCCCGCCGCGCCTAGGTGTAGTCCCCATAGAATTTCCTTCACCAAAGCACCCGTGCACCATCACCACAGTCCCCTGTGTTCCTCCCTCCCTCCCTCTGATCCCTCTCCTGCCTCTTCCCCTGCAGGATGTTTGGTTTATAACCATTTGTTTGTTTTAGTTTTGCTTTGTTGTGTTTTGTATTGTTATTATTTTTTCCCCTGATGGTTTATTTATTTATGCATACAAGAATTGGGGTACAGGCCAGAGGTGGGGGAGGCGTGGTGAGAGGACTCACCAGAGACAGAGTGGGGAACAGAACAGGCAGACTGAAACATACTGCTGAGGGGAGCAGTGGGTGAGACAGGAGAGGTCTGCACCATGTTGGGGTAGCTCCCTGGCTGGCCTGGGATTGAACTTGTGCTGCAGAGGCTGCGGACAGCTTCACAGTGCTGTGCTTAACTGCTTGCGCCACCAGGGAGGACCTAGATGAGCTTTTTTTTTTTTCCTGAATCATTTGTGAATAAATCAAAGACATCATGTTCCTCTAACCTCTAAGTACTTCAGTGTGTATTACCTAAGAACAAGGACATTCTCTTTCCTAAACACAGTAATCAAATCAGAAGTTTAACATTGATGAAATACAATTATCTACTTCACATTACAAATTCAACTTTGTCGGTTGCCTCAATTATGTCCATTAGAGCTGTTTTTATTCTGGTCCCAAATCCAATACTGGATCTTATATTGTCTTAATCCAGGACATTTTTGACAGTCAAACAGAGTGCTGTTGACAATTATTATGGGCCAACAGGCACAAATATGGACGCTCTCAGGTGAACTTGGATGTGTGGTTATGAAACTTGCAGGTTATGGCAAAAACTTTAAACTTTATCTTGTGGATAGTGGGAACCATGTAAGATTTAGAGCCTAAAAGCAAAGAAGCAACTTGAATTAGTTCATGTTTCAAGAAGATTAGTTACTCCATTGTGGAGAAAAGATAAAATGGGGGCTATATTTAATAAAACACTAAATGTTGAATGAATAAAAAAATTCACTAATGGACAACTGCACCTACAAGTGCTCACAATACTTTTTGATATAAACTTTGAAGAGTCACCAGCCTGTAACTGTAATTCTCAACCTGAGGCGCATACATGAATTGGAAAACCAAAATGCTGACGGACTCTGATGCAGAATGAAGGTATATATGTGCATGTGGTGGTTTGAAAATATGTCCACTGATTCTACGATACTCCTCCCTTCAAGAGATAGAACTCAATTCTCCTCCCTTGAGTATGGGCTGGATTTGTGTGACTCACAACAGAGAGAATGTGGTAGAAAAAATGGTGTGTTACTTATAAAACTAGGTTATAAATAAGAGGCATCACAGCTCTGTCCTCTTTGTTGGAACATGGAAGGGGGGGGCAGCTGCTGTGTCATGATGACACTCTTGGGAAGGAACTGAGGCCTCCTGCCAACAGTCACGTGAGGGAGCACCAGGAAGAGCTCCCCCAGCGCAGTCAGTCCTTCAGTTGACTACAGCCCTGGCCATCACCTTTACTGCAACCTTGTGAGACACTGAGGCAGAACCAACCAGCTAAGCAATTCCTGGATTCTGGACCCACAGAAACTGTGAGATGATAAATTTTTTTTTTTTATTTCCCTTTTGCTTACTTTTAACTTTATTAGCATCGAGACTGGGGAGAGAGATGGAGTGGGAAGGAACAAGGACTTGGGGAGCAGGTGGGAGGCACCGTCTCACTCAGGACACATGGTACTCATAGGGCTTCTCTGCTAACTGCCGACAACTCAGAGAGAAGCCCTGAACCTGAAGCCAGGTGCAAGCCATGTGGTCCTGCTCCCACCGAAGGGCCAACTTCTAAACCTAAGTAGCTGATGCCCCTGGGATCTGAGCTACCGGCAGTTCCTTTCTCCACCACGAGACATGACTATAGGGCTGTGCAGACTCAGCAAGGCTAAGCCAGCTCAGCTAGTGGTCAGTATTCAGAGTCTGACTTTCACTAGTGCCTGCAGGACCCACGCTGGCCCGCTCTGTCAGTGGCTCCTGCCAGGAATTTGGGCTGGGATGCCTTAGAGGCAGAGGGTGGTAGTTTGAGGAGCCGCACAGAGGCGGAGACGCACTTTGCTGAGGAAGATCTCCATGAGGTCACAACCTACCTCCTACAAGCTGTAGAGTATCAGGTCTCCTTTGGACCAATCAGGAGCCTCACATGAGATTCTCTAGAGCAGGATTATTAGCTCCCTACTTGGTGTCCCCTCCCATGCCACCATTTTGTGCAGCAAGGGCTCCCATCCTAGAAGCTTCTCTCTAATGAGGCTGGTACAGATTTCCTCAGGCATCTGGCAAGTGAGGATTCCACTGTTGAACTCCCAGGGCCCTGGTCTGGCCTGTGACAGGAGATACTGCTTTCGTGTATTCCTGGCTTAGAGTTGACCACATGATGATCTCCTGAAGTGGGGCCAGTCAATCCTCTGAGGGGCCCCTGTCTGGGCGCTTAGCTGCTAGGCTAGGGCAGTGGGTGCCCGAGTGTGAGTGGAAGGCCTGTCTTATCTTGAGCTTCTTGCCATTGACCATACCTTCAGGGAGGGATGCTATGAGCTCCAGGAAGACTAACAGCTGTTCCAGGGCCTCTATCTTGTTCATGACAAGGATGCTAGGGACTGGGACTGGGTCAAGCACTGGAGCAGCTGGGAGCTGAGCTGGTTCTGAGTCTGAGACATTCACAAGGTCCACAACCATATCAGCAGATTCCATGCTTTTCCGTGGGTCTTCTAAAAAGAGCTCTAGGTGGCACCTTCTGTGTTTAATGGGGCTGATGAGGCCAGGTGTGTCCAGTGCAATCCCCTGGGCCTCTGTCTCTGGGATGGCTCCTCTAGCTTGGCCATGAGTGCTGTGCAGCTTCCTGGAGACAGGTAACACTTTTTTGTGGTTGTAGCGTTGATGTTCCTGCATCTTGGTGACCCAGGAGTATCACTCATTGGACTTGGGGGTTCTCAATTTATGTCGAGGGGAGTGGGATGGACCAAGAGGAGATGCTGCTCATCTCTGTGCATGGACACCATGGTGTGTCAGGCTGAGACAGTCCAAGGAAGTGGTCCAGGGCTGAGGTAAGTCCATAAGGGCAAAAGGGAACAGAGAAAGTGATATTCTACAGGGCATAGGAGGTAGGTCGTGACCTCATGGACATCCTCCTCACCCCTACACAGGACATGTGTCTCCACTGACAGTCCAAGGGCAAGGGGCGCCATAGCACCCTTGAGGCACCAGGGCCCTAACACTGCTCTAAGGAGCACAGCCCCACATGAATCAATTTTGTTATTTTAAACTACTAAGTGTGGGGTAACTTTTATACCACCAATAACGAATGCAGTGCATTTATTTGAGTAGTTTATGACTTTTCATGTTTTTGGCATAATTACTGACCCTAAAAAGGTTAATTACTACTGCAGGTATATACACACAATGGAATACTATGCAGTAATTCAAAAAAGATAAACACATGCCATTTGAGGCAACATGGACGGAGTTGGAAGGGATGATGCTAAGTGAAATAAGTCAGAAGGTGGGCCTCCCTGGTGGCACAAGGGGTAAGCACTGCACTATGAAGCAATCTGCAGCCTCTGCAACACAAGTTCGATCCCCGGCTGGCCAGGGAGAAACCCACATGGCGCAGCAGACCTCTCCTGTCTCGCCCGCAGCTCCCCTCAGGAGTGTACTTCACTCAGTCTGCCTGTTCTGTTCCCTGCTCTGTCTCCGGTGAATCCTCTCACCCTCCCACACATCTAGCCTGTACCCTGGTTCCTGTATAAATAAATAAATTTGGGACCTCTCTAGTGGCGCAGGTTGACGGCAGCGCTGTGAAGCTATCTGCAGCCTCTGCAGTGCCAGTTCGATCCCCGCTGGCCTCGGAGCAACCCACATGGCATGGCAGACCTTTCCTGTCTTGCCCGCTGCTCCCCCCAGCAGTGTATTTCGTCAGTCTGCCTATTCTGTTCCTGCTCTGTCTCTGGTGAATCCTCTCACCCTCCCACGCATCTGGCCTGTACCCTGGTTCTTGTATAAATAAAAATAAATCTTTAAAAAAAAAAGAAAAAAATCTTAAAAAAAAAAAAAGAAATAAGTCAGTGGCCTCCCCGGTGGCACAGCGGTTGAGCGCTGGGTTGCGAAGCTGCCAGCAGCTTCTGCAGTGCCTGTTCGATCCCCAGCTGCTCCCCAGCCACCAGAGGAGGGCCCCACATGGCGTGCAGACCTCGCGTGCAGACCTCTCATGCCGCCCGCTGCTCCCCTCAGCAGTGTACTTCGGTCCTTCTGCCTGCTCTGCTCCCCGCTCTGGCTCTGGTGAATTCTCTCACCCTCCCACGCTTCTGACTGTACCCAGTGCTTGTATAAATAAATAAATAAAATAAATCTTTAAGAAAAAAAAGAAAGAAGTCAGAAGGAAAAAAGATAACTATTGGATGGTTTCACTTACATGTGGAATATAGAGAAACCACACAGAGAGTCCAGAAAAAGACAAAACCTGCAAGCTGACCATAGGTCTGAAACATACAGTGGGTAGGGGAAGGTATTAAAACAGAGGCGAGAAGGCACAAGGGACTGGAGATGGGGCATTGGTGCCTGATGGCAGAACTACAGGGACTACACCTGAGGGGAGAAACCAGTTACTGCACCAAAATGAACAATGATATAAAAAAAACAAATAAATCAAATAAAAAAAAAGAATTACTACTATAAAACAAGTACAAGATTTCTAAAAATCTTTGGAACTCATCCTATAGTTTCTATGGGTTTATCTTTTTACACAAGTTTGGGATTAAGTCCAACAAATGAGACTCCATTCTTCAAACCAATGGATGACTCAAAAGAGTGCATACAAGTGTTCTCAAGGACGGACTGAGAAAAGGAAACTTCACCCCAACTAAGCAAGCTAAAATCTTAACAGCATATCTAGTGGAACAAAGTAATTTCACTAGAAAGTTTCAGCCTAAGACTTAACCATGATTCTGACATGACAATACATCCATGAGTTACTGTTAAGGGAAAAAGTCAAGTTGATGTTCCCATCACAGCGCGTTCATACATATACAGATACACATTCATCAATGTATGAATGGACCTGTCCTGAGAAAATTTTAGAAAGATGTACCAGTTAAGGTTTTTCAGCAGGAAGTAGCAGAAATTGATAATGGCTACCAAAAAATAAAACTTATTGTGAAGTTCTAGGGTAAAACAAAAGTGGTAAGAGGGCAGTAAGACTAGATTCTGTAAACGGACAGGAAATGCAGGCGCAAGGCATGGGGAGCGAGCACAGCCATAGAACTGTGTAATTAGCTGCCAGGCAAACTGGAGTAATTAGCTGCCAGGCAAAGAGGACACCATTTGGCCACAGGTCTTTTGTTGGGCCATGAATATCTCGGGATTCCCCAGCTTTGCACAGCATGTCAAATCTTGGGGCAGAATCACCCAAAGACCAAAATTTCTTTGGTGACAGTTGATCAGATTCATAGTCTACTTAAAATAGAAGACTTATATGTAAGCATTAACAAGGCAGAGACAACAACAAACTTTATTTTGAAGGAAACAGAACACATGGACTGAATATTTGGTATACATCCATATTCAATAAAAATAAAATGGCAGTGCCAAGGGGTCTTCTGTTCCTAAAAGTAGCTATTTTAAAACACTGTAGTGCAACTTTACTATTGTTATTAAAACAAAGAATTTCTGTATATATGGTGAAGTGAGCTCTAAAGTTAGTCATGTCCTTTATTTTGGTTAAATGCAATCAGGTGTTGGTCCATACAATTTAAAAAAGGCAGGAAACAAGCCTATAACAGAACTGGGTGAACAGGAACGCTGAAGAGATAAGGGTTTTCCTTATGTTGACAATGCAAAGGTCTTTCTTTGAAAGACTAAATAAAGGTAAAAGATAAAATTGGAATAAAGACATGTAACTGAAAGATTGATATTTCAAAGTTAATTCCATTTTAAAGGTATTTCCATCTTAAAGGCAAAGAAAAGACAAAAAAAGATGAGGAGTGGTCTTTTGTTCCATAGCAGGCTGAACACATAAAAACAAAAATACGTTCTACAGCAAAGGCTTGCATATGCGTTCATACCACATTTGAAATAGTGTATATTTCTGGTAGACTATTCCAGTTGGTTTACAAAGAAATGTATTTTAAAAGACTTTTCCCCTAAAGCTTAGAAAATAAAAAGTAAACTATAGTTTCTGTTATATTGTGCCATGAATAATATCACATGTTCTACTAAGCCTTTATGCAAACAGTTAAAGCAACAGGGTGCATTTAATCTTAATTTTTCCATTTTTCCTTTTGGAGTTTCTATACCAATACGGAGCAAACTACTCATGCTTCAGAATTGAAAGATTTTTAGGATGACACATTTTTCATGTAACAACTCTCCTTTTACTAGTCTACAGATGATTCTGCATTCAACAACTGCCTTAAAGCTTGCTAAATAAAACAGAAAATCACCAATATTTATTTATTCATTTAGCAAATACTATGAAGAGACTAGTTATTCTGCATGTTTATAGATACAAATTATAGGAAAAATTAAAGAGTTGGAAATTTTATTCTCCTTAAAAATCATTATATTTTATAAATATTTGAGGCAGGTGAATTCTGAAAGTTTTCCTCATTGTAAGAATCCCTTTTAGGGCCTCCCTGGTAGCGCAGGGTTTAAAGACAGTGCTAACAAGCTATCGCCAGCCACTGCAGGCCAGGGAGGTGTCCCACAGGGAGCAGCAGACCTCTCCTGCCTCGCCCGCTGCTCCCCTCAGCAGTGTATTTCAGTACATCTGCCTGTTCTACTCTGCACTCTCTCTGGTAAATCCTCTCACCTCCTGCATCTATGGCTTACATTCCAGTTCTTGTATGCAAAAATAAATAAATCTTTTTTTTTTAAAAAAAAATTCCTTTCAAAGGAATCATGCTCTAAAAAGCTTGGGTCAAACATTTCACTGAGATGATCGCTAGATATACCTACACATACCATAAAACTCACAGCCAAAGAGCATAAGAAAGCAGAACCATTTTTCATTTACAGTATGCTACTTCTGTTTCCCACCCAAATACAGAATCTCGTCCTTTTACCAGGTCTCATGGACTCAGGGATTATCAGAGCTGGGACTCAATCTTGATTTCCCAACAATTTGTACCAAACATATAAAAAAAACTGTAAAATATGTCACAGTATTGATGAAAATAACACTACTGGCTCATTATAGGCAGTTGCAGAAATGGTGAATAAAAGTTAAGTACTACATTGGGTATTGGAACTTTTAACGGGGCTTCTAAGATCAACTGTGGGGAAACTGTCAAATCACCACAGACAGTTCTTCTGACCAGGCAAATGCATGGATGACAGAACTGGCCCAGGGGCCCATCAGATAGGGCCAGACAGCAACACATACCGAAATTCCCTCCCCTGCCCCAGTTGTCACGCTGTTCCTTCGAGAACATTGAGAATAGTAAAATAAGTCTTGATTTTAATATTCACATATATTTGAAACAATATCCACTATAAGCAAACACCCGGGAATACAGTTATTTGATATCTGTAAAAAGGATTTTATAAGACACGAAGCTTTCAATTTAAAAAGTTATTTATTAAAAAATATTTTCTGCTTATTCTGATACCGTATCAAGTCAAGGAGTGATGTTACAAAACAATTATTGGTCATATCCACTTGTATAGATGACAATTACCTTACCAGCTCTTTAGTATAGTCTATTAAATAGTGAAATATAAATTCAACTTGTTTACTTCATCACAAAAGGTATAGTCAATATGCTGCATACCAAAATCTTCTATAAGTTTTATAAAGTTTGTCTTCCTATTTCAGTTAGCGATTCAGCTAATATAAAATGATACCAGCTAAAAAGAGCATCCAAGAAATTCTTTGACTTTTGCTATTTTTGTAAAATTCAAGGAGAACATGATTGTTTGGAAGTTTCTTTACAAAGAAACCACAAAGAACCAGCTGAGATTCCTTTGTGTTTCCCCTCGTGTTTCCAGTGCTTAAAACATGCTGGAAACATAATTTAGAGAAACAAATGCCACATAGATCCCAGAGCTTGAAAGAGTTCCTGATAGGTTGTCAAATTAATGTAGAGAATGTAGATATTAAAAATGACTTTCAGAAACATATACCTTCGAAGGAGAGCCTTTAGTACTCTTAGCATTGAACACGGTGGAGCAGGAATGGGTCTGTCTTTCAAAAGTTAAGAAGTCAGTCTTTTCTCAACAGTTTCTTGATAAGCAATGAACCTTCTCAAATTCATCTTCACATTGTCAAGGACACACAGCTGATCTGGACTGTATTTACCTTTGCCTTCTTTTCGTATCTGCCAAGAAATATTATATGCGATTTGGTATGTATATTACTAATTCCTTTAAATACAAAATAAGCATTTAATTCAGGGTGTATTCAGCCATTTTCTAAATTAAGAGTTGTCAGAATGAGCCTTTTCACCTCTAGAGTAAGTAGAACACATATGTGAGCCATAAGATAGATTGTGTAACTTTAAATGACAGGTACAGAAACCACTGAATCAATAGATTTTAAAAAATGAATTTTATGGTATGTGAACTATATCTCCCTTCTAGTCTACAGCAACGATCCTCACATTTTAGTATGCAACAGGATCATCCAGAAGGCTTGGTAAGAATCTGATCAGTGGCACCATTCACACAGCTGCTGATTTTCAGTAGATCCGCAGTTGCGTTTGAGAGTTTGCATGTGCTGCTGCTGCTACTTTGAGAAGTACTGCTCTGGAGAAGTTCTTTAGTAAAATACATTATATTGGACTCAAATGTAATTTGGGGTTAAGCATACGCTAAGCAGTCCTTAATGCAATGTGGCTTCATTCATAAAGGAGCTAGATAGGACAAGCTACAGGCTGCCCTTTTGACTAGTAAGGAAGTTTCATAGGTCCTTACACCTTTCAGAAACAAAAACTACTTAATTAAATATTATTACCACAGAAATTCATATGAAATAGAAAAATCAAACAGAATAACAGAACTTTCAGAGCTAAGGGTTTTTTCCTATTTCATAAATTTACTTTATTCCCTTCTAAGCATTTGCTTTTGCAGAGTTTGATTACTCTAACTACACCTGCTTTCCTGGTCAGAGCAGGGAAACAGGAGGGGTAGGTATTTTTTCTCCTTACCTTGAAGACCTCTTTTTCAGAAATTTAAAGGTCTGACAGTGAATGTGGAAACACTCTAGGAGGTAGTAAGTAAAAACACAAAGTGCAGGAATGAATATATTATATAGCTTTTGGTACAAAGTCCCCATGTTGCTTGGGGCAATGATGACTTTTGGATAATAATGTACATTTGCCTTTGCTTAAAGAAATATCACTCAATTTGGTTACTTATGAAACAGAGGTAGGTGGGGATAAAACCTCTCACTACTTAATAAAAGGACAAACAAGAAACTATAGGCTTTGAACAAAGCGTAATTAAGAGGAAAATCTTAAATTTTTCCTCCCAGGACTAGGTCACCTACTGATAAAACTTAACTGCATAAATTTGCAGCAACATGGATGGAGCTGGAAGGGATCATGCTTAGTGAAATAAGCCAGAAAGAAAAAGAAAAATACTGGACGGTCTCACTCATAGCAGGAATCTAGAAAACTTAAATAAGGGACCAGGAAAAAGAATAACTGTAAGAAAGAAAATATCAAAATCAACAAGCAACTATGAACCAGAGACACTCTATTGGGATGGGGGGTTGGGAAAGGAGGGCTTGGGGTCAAAATAAGGGGGTTGTAATTGTATGGGGAATATAAAAAATAAAATTTAAATTAAAAAAAACTTAATAAAAATAAATTAAAAAAACTTAACTGCATAAATGTTAGCTACTATTACTAAAATTTAAAATGTAACATGCAAAACATGGAAACATTAAAAACAAATCAAACATTTATTAATGTTCTTAAATAAACACTGAATCCAGGTGTAATGATAACATAGAACTGTGCATGTTATGTATTACTATTTTCCTTTTCTTCTAGAAAACTATTATTTATGTCTTAAATTTCTAGATGCAATTATATTCACCTGAGAGCTTTTTACTGGGCTCTTTTCAAGCAAACTACATTTTACCGTAGCATCTTTTTATATAAAATAAATACATACTGGAAAATAATAAAAGAAGTTAATTTTTCATCAAAACCTCTACTGTATTGACAAAGATTTAAAAGCAACTGTTTAATATAAAATCTGAAATCAAAGAATGCAATTATTGCTCAAAATAACCTAATTCTAAAATGGGGATTTAGATAAGAGTAAACCTAAACTTGTAGACATGTGTTTTAAAGCAGTTTTAAATTTCTGGTTCTTCCCTCTGTCACCACACAGTTACCTGAAAATTACTTTTTTTTTCTTTTTAAGATTTATTTTATGTATACAAGAGCTGGGGTACAGGCCAGTCACGGGAGGGTGAGAGGATTCACCAGAGACAGAGTGGGGAGCAGCGGGCGAGACAGGAGAGGTCTGCCTCGCCATTTGGGATTTTCCCTGGCCGGCCAGGAATCAAACCAGCGCTGCATGGGCTGCGGACAGCTTCACAGCGCTGCGCTCAACCCGTTGAGCCACCAGGGCGGCCCCTTGAAAATTACTTTTTGACTCTACATTAGCTCTGATGTTTCCAATGAAATAATAAATATATGAAACAGCAAATCAAGGTAGTTACATTCTCTTACAGAATCCCCAATAAAGACTACTGGGGAGTTTGCATTTTTTTTTCTGAGCACTAAAGGGAAATATTTATAACAACAGAATCAATCTACAATGATTACATGATAAATGTACACAAAAGTGCTTCATAGGCTACAGATTACACTGTTCATCTGTAAGAAGCATTGTTAATACTGAGAGAGGAACTTGCTGACACCACTCTGGCTCAAGTCACAGTGATCCAACAGCGAGCAAGACTTGCCTGACTCAGTCCGCAGGCATCACACAGGCCTGGATACAAGCGCTAGATGAGTCACTTGGATCGCACTCAGGGAGCTGCACTAACCCTCTCCCCATTGAATGTTAAGTAAAATGGCAACATACCTTCAATTTGAAGACAGGCTGGAATTCTTTTAGAGTAGACAACAATTTAATTTGAACTGAGGCCCTTTCGGCTTCTTTACCATCTGCAAAAACATCGAACAAGGCATCCAAAGCTTCTCCTGCTACTACCAGAGAAGGATCTTTAGTGACAACCTCAAGCAGGAAGGACCCAATGGTCTGAAGACAACAAAACATATTGTTCTAAATCAATATTTTAATATTACAATACATTAAATGTGGCAATATTTCATGTACAGGCATTTTTTATATAAAAATGTCAGGGAAAAATTCAAACTTTTAAAAGATTAAATACTTAACATTTACAATATACCAAGTACAATACATACAAGTGAAACTGAACATATTAGAGTCTATATTCCTAAATAAGATAAGAGCCACATGATATACAAAAGATTGATTTTAGAAATCCCAATAAAGTTCTCCTTTATCTCCCTCAAAAAGGCTTTGCCCATGGTGTTAAAATGCATAGAAGTAGCTAATAAAAAATTATGCTTTTAGGGCCTCCGCTGGTGGCGCAGCAGTTGAGCGCTGGGCTGCGAAGCTGCCCGCAGCCTCTGCAGTGCCAGTTCAATCCCTGGCCACCAGGCGGGGGTCCCACATGGCGCGCAGACCTCTCCTGCCGCCCACTGCTCCCCTCAGCAGTGTACTTCGGTCCTTCTGCCTACTCTGGTCCCCGCTCTGGCTCTGGTGAATTCTCTCACCCTCCTGCGCTTCTGACTGTACCCAGTGCTTGTATAAATAAATAAATAAATCTTAAAAAAAAATTTATGCTTTTAAAATTATATACAAAATATTCTGAAACACACAAGGAATATAACATTCAGTATCACTCTGCTTCACTGTACAGTTGATTTTAACATTCAACCATATTTTTCAGTTAGTTAATGAGCAGACAGATCATTCCTCATCTGAAAGAACTGTTCAAGAGTAAAGTCACTTTTTGGGGGGTGTTCCGCTTCACCTTTTATGTCTACCATGAATAACAGGGTGACTCATGAGTAGTCAGTTATCCCCCTCTGGGTCTTAAATTTCACATCTGAATTTAAGTGGTCTATATAACCTCTAAGACCGTATTTAGATTTACGACCCTACAGTATAATATGAAACACACAGCATTATCTGTGAAGTAGTCTTATTTGAATCATTAAATGATTAATGTAAATCTGAATCTAAATCTAATCTGGCCTTTAGCTCTAACTTCCAGTTTATGGGAAACAGTACAAAGGAATCTGCTTAACACCACAAGGGAGCAATTAAACAAATTCAGAAGGTTGAACATCATATGGGACAACTGAGGAAGGAGTTGAAGGAAAAACAGGTGGTAGTAGATGATGCTGCAAAAACTGTTCCAGGTTAGGCGAGGCTTAAGAGATCCAGGGCAAACAACTCACAGACTTACTAGGTCCTAGTTCAAACTAACTATCTATCAAAAGGTATTTTTTGGAACTGAAAAAATTTAAATATGAACCAGGTATTCTACATATTAAGAAATGACTGTTAGTTGTATAAGGTGCAATAAAAAAACTGTCCCTATTTAAAGACAAGGGGTAAAATGCCATCACAAACCCAGCAAATAAACTATGTGAAACACTTACGATAGGATAGTAGAAACTGCTAGATATGTTTGGGGACACAAAAAATTCACTGTACATTCTACTTTTCTTCATGCTTGGAAATGTGACCAACAAAAACATTTTAAAATGCTTTGTATTATATTGGAGAAAACCTCACTATTCCTCTAAAATGGACCTTGGAAATCTATGTATGTGCACACACACAGCCAGGTAGTCATCCCTCTCACTTACATTCCTATATATCAAGAACTCCTGGAATGACACTAAAGACATGGCTGACAGCGGCTGCCTTTAGCAAGTTAAGAAGTAATTTATAATAGATTCATTACCCACTAGTCAATAATCAACATTCAGCAATTATTATTGGCACAACAAAGAGTAATTTTACTCTTATTCTCTTAGTTACCTAGTGATGCTGTATTGCTAGCAATGCAGTTCGTGAGCAACTGTGCTGATGGGAAGCAAATCGAGTGAGTTTCTAGTGTACTGGTACCCAGGGCTGCTGCTTAAAATCGATGGAGAGGTATCAGAATGGACAGTGTGGTCTTGTTAAGAACGAGCTCTTGCCTGGTGTACTAAGGAAACCAGGTATATTGTTCCTTCATAAGTAGAATATGATAGGCACACATTTTATTTAATAGCAAAAGCAAAGGCAGCTTTAACAATTCTGAACTTGGTCTTTCACTGAATAGAAATGTATTTTTTAAAAAGTATCTCCAGATTAAAGAAAGCTAAATGACAAAATGACTGAAGTTTCAAGCACCTATCTATACACAGTGAAAGTTAAAAGGTACATTTCAATACTGTATCTTAGGCTGAGTTCCTTTCATGGTGGCCACAGAATTTTTTTTTTTTCTAAAGCCCACTTTTTTTTAAACCCTTCCCCACTTCTAGTTAAACATTTTAGGTTGGAAGCATATTGTTTTACCTTAAGAGTTTCAAGCGTACCATCTTCTTTGGCTAGGACACTGCCAGTGATTCCTAAAATACTAACTACGTTTACTCTAACCCCAATATTACTACTATAAATGCCCGCTTTGCATAACGACATCAGCTGGTCGGGAGTCATGCACTGTGGGGAGAGAAGAGAGCATAGTGTTAAGCTGAGCCAATTCAACAGCGTGGGAAACAATACTGACAGGCACCTCCTCCACAGGCTGTGTGAGTCTCAGAGTGAAATAAGGTCTTAGCAGAGAAATCATTACATGATCTAATCACTCCCAAGTACAGGGGTAACTTGAACCAAAGCGAGGCCTGTTTGTGTCACTGTTATTATTCAATCATAACTCTAAGCCTATAAAAGGGGCTTCAGTTCCTCTTAATTCCATTTGAAGAGAACTTAAATTCAGAAAAACACACACTAGGGGTATTCTAACTTATTTCCAACATTGACCAGAAAAGACATGTTAAAATATACATAGGAATCATGTAACTTTAATAAAAATTGGCGGAGTATATATACAAGGTAGTTTATCTCCGTGAGAAGCACACAGTGAAGTGACTAAGAGTCTGATTTCCTGGGTTCAAATCCCAGTTCCACTGCTTACCACCTGGCAATGCATCACTAGTAGCTCAATTCTACTGGGCTTTCCATTTCCCCATCAGTAATACAGGGACAATAAGAGTACCCATCACGCAGAGAGGCTATGAGGTTAAATAAAGCGTATAAAGCACTCACTAAATGGCAGCTTCTATTATATATAAAAATACTTAAGAGTTCTAAACCATCAAACTCATGTCTGAATCATTTGAATTAGTTCTGACCTGAAGGTGACAGCGAATACGCCGAGGTTTCTCAGAAAACATCCTAATGCAAAAATCCCACAGCACTAAGGCCTGTCATAGCTAGGACAGGCTCCGTGCACACAGAGGTGTACCGTGCTACTGCCATGCGGCTCACAAGTGTGAGGAGCCTAAGCGCACACACCTACAAGGTGAAGGACAGACAGGGAAGCAGGACACAGCCGTCCTAGTCTTGGTGGTGTTCCTCCGCAAATCTAATTCTTGGTTTCCTCTCCTTATAAAATACTAGAGACTAGGGTCCTTCTAAATCTAAAATTCTATGCTTATGCCGAACACCCAGCAGCCTGAGAACTTATCATCTTAGTAGATATGATTGCCATTAGTCCATGAACTTTGAGTAATTTTCTTTAAACTGACCCAGTAAGCAACTACCTGAACACCAAGGAAAACCAATAAAAATACTTTCTATTCCTATAGGACCTACCTAGGTATAGGGTTTTCTGATTCTCTCAACAGACATATGGCAGGCCAGACAGAATTACCATTGCTAGTTCATATAAACTGAGGATCAAAAGTTATGTTTTTGAAAAAAAAATTTATATACAAAGAAATTTTTTTCAAGTACAGAGTACATATTCGATGCCAACAGCATAATACTATGTTTAGTAGTAAAACATCAGAGACCTTCCCATTAAACTCTAGAACAGGGTAAAGTCTGAGATGCATTACTCTAGAGATGTAGCCTTGGGGGATGAAAGCAGAAAGGAAGACAAGACCACTGGCAAGAAGGAGGCCCAAGCACTGCAAAGTCAGGTTACTGGGAAGAGCACCCAGTGGATACGGAGATCATTGAGAACTGCGCAGAACTCGTGAACAGTAACAGAGCCCACCAGCGGCATCTTCAAGGAATGACGGGTGCCCCAGGGGATGGTAAATGATTGTAACTAAGAGAAATGGGTAGTGAGTCTAGTGGTATGTTAATCAAAACTAGAGGATTTTAGAAAGAAATGAGTGAGGATGGTTTAGAACAGTGGTTCTCAAATTTGAGTGTGTATGACATCATCTAGAGAACCAGTTAAAACATGGATTGCTGGGTGGAAAAAAGGGCTGTGGGGAGTACTACTACACTTATTCTATCTTTTTTGGCATAAACTTTATTTTAGAGTTGCCAAATAACTGATGAGACAGAAGACCTTATTTATAAAAGAATTATGGCTTTAAAAGGAGGACTGTCAAAATTAGGATACCAACATTTTACAACCTCTAAAGGAATAATGGATCTGGACAACAATCATCACTGGTTGCTACGATCATTCAATGAAGGTGCTGATAAACCTTCACATCACTATTTACATGGTCTGCTAAATTTAAAGAGGGAATGTATGCAGCACTATGAATTATTCTTGCCAAAAAAGTCTGAACCTAAATCTAATTAAGGCTCTAGTCCTAGCTCCTGTTTATAAGAAACCTGGGAGCTAGCGGGACACATGGCTATCCACATGGCTATAAAGCAGCAAGATCTGAGAGCGGGGCCAGTGCTACAGGACAAGTGCTGGCTTCCTCCATGAAAAGACAGGCTGAGAAAAGGTGGCAGGTGGAGATTTAAGAATCTAAATATACTCAAAAACATTGAAATACATATACACATTGTATAAAATATGAATTAACTCTCATTAAAGCTGTTAAAAATTTAAAAGATAAATCAACTGAAGCCATGAGTACATCTTGCTTAGATCCTGCTTTGAACAGACCAATTACAAAAGACATTTCAGGGACAAGCAGGCAAAAGTGAACTCAGATAGCACAGCAAATGGTAAATAAGAAATATATATTAATTTGCAGATTTAAGGTAATGGCCCTGTGGTTAGTTTTTCTTTTTTTTTCTTTTTCTTTTTTTTTAAAGATTTATTTATTTATTTATACAAGCACTGGGTAGTCAGAAGCGTGGGAGGGTGAGAGAATTCACCAGAGCCAGAGCCAGAGCGGGGAGCAGAACAGGCAGAGTGACGAAGTACACTGCTGAGGGGAGCAGCGGGCGGCAGGAGAGGTCTGTGCGCCATGTGGGACCCTCGTTCGGCAGCCAGGGATCGAACCGGTGCCGCAGAGGCTGCGGGCAGCTTCGCAGCCCAGCGCTCAACCGCTGCGCCACCGGGGAGGCCCTGTGGTTAGTTTTTCTTAAAGATCGTTTTCTATCACAGACACAAATGAAGCACATAGATAAAATATTTGTGGGTGAAATATGATTTGCTTTAAACTATTCTAGGAAGCAAAATCAAAAATGTAAGGGAGATGAATAAAACAAGAATGACAGATGGTGACAACTTGACACTCAGTGATGGTGCTTGCAGGGTCATTACATTGTTCTCTCTGCTTTTAGGAATGTTTGAGGAGCAGCTGGATAAGAGGAGCAGCTGGATCACTGTGGAGGGTAGGGAGGGCATACTTGAAAATTTTTGTATTAAAATGTTTTTAAAAAAATGACAAATGAGGGCCTCCCTGGTGGTGCAAGGGATTAAGATGCAACCTATGAAGCTATCAGCAGCCACTGCAGGATGAGTTCGATCCCTGGCCAGGGAGCTGCCCACATGGCGTGGCAGACCTCTTCTGTCTAGTCCACTGCTCCATTCAGCAGTGTATTTTAGTCTATCTGCCTGTTCTGTTCCCCAGTCTGTCTCTGATGAATCCTCTCACCCCTGCACCTCTGGCCTCTACCCGGGTTCTTGTAGGTATAAATAAATAAATCTTTAAGAAAAATGACAAATAACATTCAGAGAAAATACAACACAAATGTTAAGTAGGAAGTATAACAACAAATTACAAACTGTGCATGAGCTGCAGATTGGGGAGAAGGAAATGATTTTGCTTTTTACTTTAAACACTTTTATATTACTCCTGTAGTAGAAATATTCAAATGGTAGTTACGTAATACATTTTAACACCAAAAATACAGAATCTTTGCTAGTTTCACATAATTAAAAAAAATCTTACCTGAGAAATGTTCTTGGAGGCCATTGTTTGCAAAAGGGCCCTCAAGGCACTACTTATGGCTTCGAGAAAGTCAACATGCTTAGCAAAATCTAAAACACAAAAGTGAAATACAGATCTTCCAAGATAAGTTATCTTATAGAAAAAGAACACCGACTCAAAACAAATCAAGTTAAATGTTACTACATGCTGTTATAATAAAATAATTTTTGATAGTGAAGTCAAAACATCTAGTCAAACAGCCTCCTATGAACTATATACTTGAGTCTGAAAGATGACCACAACCGAAATAACAGCAGGGGTGCTGTAGACAGTCTTTGCCTTCCAAATACTGGGATTTCATTTGACTCACACCATAGCACATAACAGACCCCAGATGCGGTACAGGCCAGAGATGGGGGGAGGGGAGAAGATTCACCAGAGACAGAGTGGGGAACAGAACAGGCAGACTGACTGAAATACAGTGCTGAGGGGAGCAGTGGGTGAGACAGGAGAGGTCTGCTTTGCCATGTGGGTTGCTCCCTGGCCGGCCAGGGATTGAAATCACATTGCAGAGGCTGTGGATTGCTTCCTAATGCTGTGTTTCAACCACTTGCGCCACCAGGGAGGCCCCAAGATACTTTCATAGACTGAATTTAGTTTTTTGTTGCTTACCAGCACAGTGCTGGGTAGGCCTAGGGTAGAGCTGCCCCCAAACCAGAGTGTTCCTCTATAACCCAAACCACTGCCTGGCCAAGAGCTGCTGCCTGTCCAGTCCTGCATGATTGTCCAAAACCTTGTCACTTCCCACAAAGGTGTAGAGTCTATTTCCCCTCCCCTTGAATCCGGGTGGGATTTTTTTTACTTCTTCACATATAGAACATACAGAGTTAACAGGCTAGGTCATGAAAGGCAACATGACTTCTGCCACCTCTCTCCACTCTCTCAACTCTTGTTCTGGGAACCCAGTTTATGTCATGAAGAAGCCCAGGTCACAGAAGTGGTCACAAGTGGGTGTTCAGACCATGGCCCAGCAGTGACTGTCAGACATGGAAGTGAGTAAGACTTCAAATGATTCTGGCTACTACTTTTCTTTCTTTTTTAAATTTTTTTTAAGATTTATTTATTTATATAAGAACCGGGGTACAGGCCAGATGTGCAGGAGGGTGAGAGGATTCACCAGAGATAGAGCGGGAAGCAGAACAGGCAGATCCACTGAAATATACTGCTGACGGGAGCAGTGGTGAGACAGGAAAGGTCTGCCGCACCATGTGGGGTTCTCACTAGCCGGCTGGGAGCGAACCCGCACTGCGGAGGCTGTGGACAGCTTCACAGTGTGGCGGTCAACCGCCTGCACGGCAACTACTTTTCTAAACGAGGTGCCAGACCAGGGTTTCTTTCTTTCTTTCTTTTTTATTTATTTGTTTGTTTATATATTTTAAAGATTTATTTATTTATGCATACTAGAGCTGGGGTACAGGCCAGAGATGCAGGGGGTGGGAGGATTCACCAAAGACAGAGTGGGGAACAGAACAGGCAGACTGACCGAAACACAATGCTAACGGGAGCAGCAGATGAGACAGGAGAGGTCTACCTCGCCATGTGGGTTTCTCCCAGGCTGGCCGGGGATTGAACTCATGCTGTAGAGGCTGTGGATTGCTTCATTGTGCGGTGCTTAAACCCTTGCGCCACCAGGGAGGCCCAGACCAGGGTTTCTTAACCTTAGTACTACTGACATTTTGGACCAGATGATTCTTTCTTGTGTGTTCTTGGGGGTTTCCTGTGTACTATGGGATACTGAACAAACAGCACCCCTAGCCCTCACCATCTAGATATCAGTAGCAACCCCCAAGTTGTAACAACAGAGATGATCCCAGATATCTCATGCGGGGAAAACTGCCCCTAGTTGAGAAACACTGGGTCACACACTGTGGAGTAGAGATAAACCATCTCCATTGTGCCCTGTCTAAATCCCTGACCTACAGAAACCATGACAAGTAACACATGGTTATTTTTTCAAATCACAACATTCTGGGGGGACTTGTTACTGCAATAGATAGATTGGCTTTCTACCCTCTGATACCTGGGGCCCCATAAAGATTCTGATGCTCCCCTCTTGGCTGCCTGCAGAAAAGCAAGCCTGTTTTGCATGAATCTGAATCAAGGCTTATAACATTTTTGACTCTAATTTTCAGGTGCTCATTACATAAAAAGTATGTCCTCTGAGTGTCATAGAACAGAAGCTAAGGTGGCTTTAGGACCAGACAGACTAGGGACGAAATCCTGCTCTAACATTATATGACTTCTCAGTTCATGGTTGGTCTTTGCTTATATATTACCTCCAGAGAGGCCTTCCCACGCTAAGCTGCCTGTGGCAGAAGCTCACACCATTCTGCTTTTATTTTTTCCTCCATAGCAGAAATTATATCAAGTCCTTTATGCAAGAATGCAAGCTCCATGACGACAGTGGCCTTGCACATCTTGTTCATGCCTGTATTCCTTGAACTTAGAACAGAGCGCGGCATAAATTAAGTGCTCAGTAAATACAAATTGAAAGAATGATTGACCTTAAAGAAGTTCCTTAATTCAGCTTCCTCATCAGAAAGATGGGGTAATAGTGTCTGGCTCATAAAATGTAGTGTCTGGTAGGCACTCAAAAAGTTCTTAACATTAAACTTCAAAAAGTCAGCATATTAGCTCTGAAACATAAATTCTGTTTATATTTGATTAAAGTTATCAATGTAACCCTACAAGTTCATGTACTACACATAAAATAGTTATTATATAGACAATTAACTTAAAACAAACTAGAATAGGGCCTCCCTGGTGGTACAAAGGATGAAGTCTCCACACTATGAAGCAATCTGCAGCCACTTCAGCACAAGTTCGATCCCTAGCCAGAGAGCTAACTCTTATGGCACAGCAGACCTCTCCTGTCTTGCCCACTGCTCCCCTCAGCAGTGTATTTCAATCAATCTGCCTTCTGCTCCCCACTCTGTTTCTGGTGAATCCCTTCATCCCCCCTCCCCCAACTGCCCGCACCTCTGGCCGACACCCCAGCTCTTATATGCATAAATAAATAAATAAAACAACTAGACCACATATCAGTTTCAGTTTTACCCTGTCCTCCATTCTTAGGAAAATAACCATTTTCTTAGACTCAAAACCCTAATCTAAACTATGTGACAGCTTTACATTATGTATAATTTGTACTTTCCTTAAATTAGGGAAACATTTGGGCCATTTTTATTTAATTCACTTTTCTGGTCAATAATCCAAATTTAGGAAAGGAACTTCAAACTATTCTGCCTTTCTGACAAATGTGTCAAAGAAATTAAGTAAACGTCAAAAGGAGTTAAACAAAAGGTGATTCAAAATGCCTTTCCCTTCAAAGTTGTACAGTATCTAAGAATTTGTAATATGCCTAAATGCAGGTAAACAGTCAATCCACACTCATTCAAGCAACAAATTATATTTAGGTGAATTTTTCAGACTGATTTGCAATATTATAGACTACAGAAAATATCAAATAATAGAGTATGTCAGAATGGGTACTGCTATCATTCTAATTATAATGAAAAATAGTTTTCTGTTTCCCTTAATCTGGAACACAGGGAATCCTACACGATTTTAGAGTGCATGTAATGGTGCAAATGACAGACTGACCCAATTTGAAAATACAATGCTGTTAAAAATTTCTTAAAGTTTTATAAAAATCGGAGGGGGCGGAGCAACATGGCGGCGAGGAGACGCTGCGAGTAAGATCTCCCATTAAAAAAAAGTTAATAGGGAGGAAAAGCGGCAGGTCCCAGTGAGAACTGGGACACGGAAGATAAACGGACAACTCCAGCAAACTGCCCGAAGAAGAAAGTGGCCATAAAAGAGGACTAGAAGGGAGGGAAGCGCAGAACCCTGCTCCCCTCCCCCGCCCACAGAGGCGGCACTCTCCGACCGGCAGAGAGGAGGAAAACAACACACTAAAACGACCCACAAGAACAAAGGACGCAGCAAGCGGGACTGTGAGTGGAAAGGAACTATTGCAGCCACCACACCCCGTGAACGGGAGCTGTGGAGAACCCTGCAGGATCCACCGCGGAGGTGAGCTCCGGGCGCCATTAAAGAGAGACCCCGCCCAGGAGGAGGCCAGCACCAGCACACAGCCCCGGGCCCCCCGGTAAGCCTGCACGGAAAGCGGCGCGCTGGAAAAGCAGGCGCGGATCGTGGTCAGGATTGCGCGGAAAGCGGCGCGGATCGCGCTGAAAAGCAGTGCGGTTGAAAAGCAAATGCGGATCCAGATCGGATCGCAGCTGCCCAGGTCCCCGCGCCTGCGACCTAGGCTTGCGGGGAGACGCGCGGAGGCCCTCCCTGAGTGAGCAGGAACCAGGCGGCCAGGCACGGGAGCGGGATTCAAAAGGTGCCATTCCCGCGCCACTGATCTGGGCTACAGCCCGAGTCCTGGAACTGAGGGCTTTGGAACTGAGACCCGGGGCACGAAATTAGGGGCGTGGGTTCCCCACGACGGTGGGGCACAAGGCAGACACAGCACCCCAAAGCCGTTGAGGTGTACCCTACCATCCCCGCTCTGCTCCCTGTCCCACGGGGTGGAAAATCAGCTCCCCAAGGGCTCTAGGAGAGATCTCTGGCGCCACCTAGCGACTTGAAGCCAGCACAGGCTCCTGAAGGAGCTAGTGGCCAGCTGGGGAGTTAGCCCACTCCGGGCCCCTTCCGAACAAGTAGTCTGAGCCCACAGGGAGAGCGAGCACTCACAGCCGGGGCAGACCAAGCGCGCAGAAGAGTGTGCCTGAGACCGGACGCGCAGGGAGTGTGTCCCACATCACCATTATAGAATAGGGACATTTCTTCAATAAAGACTACCTGCAGAAGGCTTCCTCAGGAGCCAGAGGTGAGCGGGGGAAGTTCGCCCACGCCAGACCCCCTCTGGCCTGCAGTCCAAGCCCAGAGGGGGAGCAGGAACCCACCGCCGGGGCAGACCAGGCGCACAGGGGAGTGTGTCCCCACATCGGCATTTTAGAACAGGGACCTTTCTCCAGTAAAGACTGCTTGAAACTGACAGATGACTCCTGGAGGAACCAGAGGGGAGCAGAGAAGCCCA